AATTGTCTAGGAGCTTTCTAGAATGCCCTGCTACTATCCCTAAGATTCCAGGCGAGACACGGTAGAATGGCTGGCTTCTTATGATTGAAGAGGCCTTCAGAACACGGCCTATCTTGGACGCTTTATATGCACGATATTCTGATGTATTAGAATTTTTTGTCCTTACTAACAATGACTAGGCCCTTCTAGAACATGTCTACAACTTCCTTGTACCTTTTAAGGAGGTCACTCTTAAGGCTGAGAGCCATCAAGCTACTCTTGACTGCTTCTAACCGTCCATGGAGTTCCTCATTGATCACTTCGAGGAGCAACAAAAGAAACATTCTAAGCACAAGATACTGCTCGCTCCACTGAACACGGCCTGGTACCTTTTCAGTAAATACCATAGTCTGATCGACGAGAGTGGAGCATATATTACTGTAGCTTTGCTGCACCCCGAGCGGCGTCACAAGTGGTTGTACAACCAATAGAATACAACAGAGAAGAAGAAGTGGTTAAAGAAGGGCTTGCAGCGTGCTGAGGCCTTGTGGCATAGCTATCGTGATCAGATTGAGCCCGCCCTAATTGCTAGCCAGATAGATCAAAACTCCTCTGCTGAGTTGTCAGCCTTTTACAAGTGGCAATAAGAGTCAGCTGTTATAATAGACAGCGAGGATAGCTTCGAAGTCTTCATCTTTGCTCCTTTAAGTTGACTGCTAATGCTGGAAGGAAGACAAATGAGCGTTGTCGAGTGGTGGACACAGCCTACACAGCGACAAACGTTTCCAGCCCTGTCACAACTCGCAGTTGACGTGCTCTCAGCCTTTGCAATGAGCGCTGAATCAGAGCAGGCATTCAGCAAGGCGAGACGGACGACTTCGTGGGAGCAATCTCAGCTTAGTGCTAACACTATCAAGTGCTCTGGGTTGTTAAAGGACTGGCTGCATTGCGGAGTTGCTCACGCACTGTCAGCTAACTACATTGACAATCAAGACAGCGACAGCGAGGCCAGGGGCAGCCTATTTGTAGCCTGAGAAACATACAGTAGTTGACTTCTGATTTCTGATTTGACTTGACTTGACTTGACTTTGACTTTGGCTGACTGGATTTGACTTGACTATGACTTTGAGTGTTTGATTTGACTGAGTCAGAAGTCAAAACCTATGGCTCTGTCTGGATATTGCAACACTGAAGTCCAAGCATACGCGGAGCAGGTCAGACTGATGACATGTGCCCAGCACGTCCATCTGAGATGGGCTACCACGCCATCGTCGCAATATGCTTCGACACCCACGCCATCGTCATCGACCACTCGCTCAAATCCACTGCATTCAGAGTCTTGCTCGGTGAATTAGTGAACTTGGAGCCCTATGTGCCATTGTTCAGTGAACAAGGTCAAGAGCGTTTCAAATACTTCCTCAACGGCGCAGATGCATACACACTGACTATGGACAGCGTCTTTGGCACATATCCCGCACTCTCGTTCACGGAAATGGATATCAACGCATCCGTCACGCAGCTCGCGATTCCAGCCGCAAAGCAGGTAAAGCCGCTTCAAGATCGGCCCAAAATTTTGCTACCACCGCGTAAGTATGTTTCTGTACGTTCACTTCTGGATCGAGAGCCTGAGCTGATTGCTTCGACTCCGGTTGATGGTAAGTTTCTGGCTACTACACTGTGTGTGCAGATTGACTTTGGCGAACCAGCGCTGCTGATGCAGATTCCTCGTGCCGACTGGCTGGATACGGAGCAAGGTAGGTTGTGGGTTGGTAAACTTTCAGCGATGGACGGCTTCAAGCTTCGACGCAAAGCTTCGGCTCATCTCAAGGTTGCGCTTAGTGCTAATTTTGCGCGGGAGATGGGTGAGGTGGAGATGGAGGAGCTGGAGATTATGGCGAGCCTGGGAGAAGAGTTTGGGCTCGATCGAAAAGTCATTCATGATTTTGCGGAGTCGGTCTTTCGCGTTTGGGTACCATATCGAGATGGCTTAGTCGATACTATCGTCGATTTGGTCGAGCACCCTTAAGCAGATTGATCCTAATCCTACACTGCGTCCATGCCATGTGAATTTCAATGAAGTTTATCAAATTCAATTGCCTGAGACATTCATATTGAGTTCCCTCAACCTTCCCCTTCGCAAGTACTACACACACTGTCTTACCCCTACATACAAGACCGCCCACCACAAGAACTCAACGTATGTACATACCTAATCTTCCCACCCTCCAGCCTAAACTCATGACTATTTGGCAACCCCGCGGCCCCAACGTTGCCCTGGGTACCACCGAAATCCATGATGATGTCCACCGTTCCGTACTCATCATCAATTACATATTGCCTGTTCACCACCGTGACACCACTCGGAATCCCAACGTCGCATGTGTCATTCGCCTGCCCTTTGTCCGTGTACGATCCGCCCTCAAGCCTAGCGCACGGACCGCCCCAGGGTACCTTGACGCTCTTATCGTTGAAAGTATCGCAGTATGTGTCGCCTGCGGCTTGGATGGCGGCGCGAGAGTCGCGCTTCTCAGCTGGAATTGGATCCTATTTCTCGCGCGAGGCCCAATAGTAAGTTCCAGTGACATTAAAAAGCCAGTCGCCTTCTCGTAGTAACGATGCTGTCTATCTTGGCTACTGCGTTGGTAGTGTTATCGAGGCGCAATTGAGATGCAATCACGTAAGGAGCGGCGGAGTTGGTGACGATGAATTCGCTGAAGGCTGCACATTGAGAAACGTCGTGTTGAGCTCTGACATGATCAATCTTGAGCGCTTTGGACAGGATACTGGACTTGATGTCGACTTTCTTGCGATTCTCGGTGTATGTTGCATTGGCGGCGAAGGAAGTTTGGCCTGCTGTTTGAGCCGTAAGAAGGGCACCAGTGGCCGACTTGAGGGTCTCGCGGGTGCATGCTGCAATAACTTGGGTGGCGAAGATGGCTACGATGGTCGTCGTAACATAGCGCATGGTGGAGAGTGTTAATATTTCAACTTGTGTCCGATGGGTCAAGTAATAAAGGACAAATCCCTGCCCTCTGCTGGAGTATGGGACGAACTGCCGCATCCAGCAATTGTATATAGTCAATCGAAGTGTGCGGTATAATTGCACAAATGCCGTTCATGGGACTCGGCAGTCGGATTTAGCGAAATGGGCATGCTTAAGGGTATCCTATAGATGAATGGAGAGTGTAAGCGAACATCAACAGTATATTAGCTCGATATTAGAGTGTCGATGTAGGAGAGCTATGTTGCTTGCTCTGCGGGCTGTATACATGAAACAAAGAGGTTCTCAAGGTGATCATGAAGAATGTCAACTTTCGTGTTGGATTCCAGCAGCTTAGAAATCCAGTGAATATTATGTTAATATGCTGCAGCGCACCTACAATCATCCGAGTTCTCAATATTCTGGAGAAACTTGAAGCAGCAGTGACACGAGAGGTTCCTGCACCTGATTTCGGGTTGAAGATTTATGTGACTGAACGTTGTTGTTGAAAGCACCCACAAGCTATACGCTTCGACTATAGTTCATGGTGAATGTGATCTTTGACACACCTTTGGTCCGTTGGCGCCTTCTCTAGAGGGCCTTAACCCTCACAATGTATAAGTGTTGAACGAACACGACTTGCTCTGATAGTAGTGATGGAAATTCCTCCATAAAAAAATATTTGCCTGCTCTTTGCTACCATATGCCTGGTGGAATGAGCATGCTTGCGATCTTCATCTTCTCCAGGCAATTGGTCAGGGTTTCGATGTAGATAGTGTCTGCCGTTGTGTTGGTGGCGATGTATGTGCCTTGTGCTTCAGCGAAGTTGCGAAGTCAGCCAAAAGGAAATAAGTCATGCCCGCAGCGTTCGAGGCTGACTTCACACTCGCTGCTGACTATCTGACGCATGTTCGCCCGTCGAATTGGTGTTGGTGCTGTCGCAATTGGTCTTTCGAACCGTACTAAGCCCTCGCTTCAGGCTACCTGCCTCATCGAGCATGGGTTTGGATTGTTGCAAGAATGCAAGCGTTTCGACATCGAGATAGAAGACAAGCTCTTGCCCAAACGCTCAACTAGTTCGTCCTTTTTGCCTGTCACTTTTTGCAGGGCTTGAGTCGCGGCGTGTACCGGAAGGCCATTTGCGCAGCGCAACTCATCTCGCGGTGGTCCAAATAAGAGGCGCTATCAATCAACCAATGGACTCAACATTCACAACGCGCGCAACACGATTGCTGGTCGCAGCGCAACTCATCGCGCTCGTCGCAGCTTCCAACGGGAAAACGCTCGGCATTGCATTCGGCGTCACGGCTGCGGTCGGTATAGGGTGCATCGTCTTTCTAATCCTCTGCATCCGCTGGCTTCGGCGGAGACACAAGCAACGGGTAGCCAATGGAGATGAGGGACGAGACGCGATAGAAGGATTTTGTGTATGCACCGACTGCTCTGGCTGCACGAAGAGAAAGGGCGGCGGAGACGGGTCAGCTGCATGCGCAATGTGTAGAAATGTGTGTATGAAGTGATGGACGGGACGGCATTGGGGTTACGGTGGGATTTATGGGTTGGGGGTGGATAGGTCGCACTCGGAGGCGACGAGGGGAGCCTGTCCCAAGCGGATGCATCAAATGCACGGCACATCATCAAGCCACCATGCCTTGGTCGTATTGCAATGCCCGGTCGATCTAATTTTAGTTGAGCAGACCAGTGCTAGATTCGCGTTCATGACATGTTATCGTGGAAGCACCAGGTCGAAGTGATATACATTTTTTAAGTGCACCTCCCACTAATTGCCCTGAATCATCAATTCTGCAGCTCATTGATGCCGTTCAAAAGAAAGTCCGAACTTCAACCGGCAATCTGTGGTGTTGCGAAGCGGGGCTCAAAGCAAAATTCTTCGACTCGGCCATGTCCGCCCGCCCACACCACAGCACTTCCCATCATATTGTCATAGTCATTATATTTATCTAAATTTCCATTTCTTCAACCATCAGAATCCGATATGGTCTAGGTATGTGACACAGTTCCTCAACAACATCAGTCATGTTCTAACAATCTCGCAGTGGCTAGGATTTGCCGCTCTCATCAGAAGAGTTCGCTTGTGCGCGCCGGCAAGGCCCGGGTTCGATTCCCGGTGTCGGAAGATTTCTTTTTGCTCTTTCTTGTGCAGACCTTCGGTGGTGGTGGGGATGGGAGGATGTGGAGGCATTGAGGAAGAAGTACTTGGGAGCAAGAGGCAGGATCTCGTCAGTTTTTGTCAACCTTGTTTCGAGTTTAACACTAACTAAAAAACATCGTAAATTCTCTTGGAAAAGTCGAACTAATCATCATTTGAATATGAGCATGATTGCATGGTTGAAAGTCAATCGGAGTCGAGGTCGGTCTGGATTGACCTGTGTCCATCACTACGCTCGCGCTCCTCCAACCACCGGCCTACGAACACGTAAACTCGAGCACTGCCTTCATAGTGCAGGCAAATCAAGACCAGAGGTTATAATATCAGGTCCTATCATTAGGTTCGTTACTGGAGAATATCGCACTCGGGTATGCCGCAAAGCCAAGCCTACCTAGCATCGAGCCAAGGCGACAGGAACTTCTGACCAGAGTTGAACGAAGTCTATACATGTCTATACGACTGCGCAGGTGCCTCAAAAATAGGCTGATCCCATTAATTCCTCGATGGCGGAAGATATGAATTATCAATCTCCACAGCTCCATGCACTCGCGGTGGACTCTGATATGGTGGCGGCTGATACAGCGAAGGCGGAGCATGTAACGGGGCAGGAACTTCAACAGGTCGTGGAGTCTTGTCCGACAGCTTCTGAAAGCCATCACTGGACATTGGAAAACCTGCTCTTTGTTGCTCGGACTGAGTTTCTTGCGGTAGTGCCACCGTATGAAGAACCAGAAGAGCGCAACCATGATGATGAAGAAGAGCATGGCACCGACTGAGGCGGCTATGATGGCGGTCTTGGAAAAGGTGTGGCCGTTCGAATTGGTGTCTGTCGTTGTCTCCGAGGACGTGGACGTTGAGGTTGGGAAGGCTGCGCTGCTTGCAGGTAACGTGTCTGTAGCTTGAACCATGATCTCAGCACTTGTGGATGTAGTAGGCAGGATAGTAGAAGTACCGAACGTGATGTACCCGTCGGCGTAGCAACCACTTGATAGCCACCCGTCTTTGCGCGTTTTGGTGGCAAGATCTTTGATCACTGACAAGTTGCTGAACGTGAACACTTTCGAGTCGTCGTTGCAACATGTGCTTCCATCCGAGTTGCGACAATATCGATTCTGGCCGCAGTCGACGATTCTATAGTACGAGTCAGCGTAACTGTTCGCTGTTCTCTTGTGAGTAAATCGTGCGATGAGGAAAGACCAAGAGTGGCCTACTTTTGTTGGTGCAGTGGTTGAAGCATCCAGGACTGTTCCAATTCTGATCAGTACATGCTCCTCGAAACATGGGCTGTCCACTAGGGTCGTAGCATAGGCCTATGATCAACATTAGAAAGGCATTTCGTGACTAAGAAGATGATTACTTGCCATTAGACAAGTATTGATCGCCTTCGCTCATGATACAGTATGATGTGTGTTCGGTGCCCGAGCATGGTACGTAAACATAATCCGTTGGAATAGAGCCATCAGGATAGTAGCTACTTTCTTAGCAGATTCTCCAACCTCGACCAAAATTCAGGAGACATACCATGATGCGCTGACATGGCCAAACAAGAACCGAAGAAAGCGCAAACAAGAGACAAGAGTTGGTAGCGCATATCTCCAATCAAGGCAAAAAGAGTGACTTCGCTTAAAGAGCGACAGGTCTTCAGGAATTCCAAAGAAAAATGACATTCAACGGTAAACACAAATGGCGATGAAGCTCACTAACGACCATCGTGCCCCACTCCTTGTTCCTGCATGTTTCGTGCTAAGCTGAGCGCCACTTTGCTTCCTCACGCAGGGGCTTCGTCACACCCCCTATCGTGAAGATAAAATGATGTGAGCTTGAGTGTGCTTTTTCGTCCCGTGAAGCAGGCGCTTGCTGGGAAATCGTGCGCAGGGCTGGAAATTGATTGGATACATGATTGACGGTGGACGACAGAAAGCTAGTTACGAACAAGACTACTTCGAGGCAGCCGTGTTCGTTGTGCCCCTGCAGCGTGTGGTGGTAAAAGATGCCACGATTGGAGATGAGCACAATATTTCGAGAAGTAGATGCTGGACTTCAAAAAAGCACGGAGAAGAAAGAGACTAGACATGTCTTGTGTTGTAAGAACGTCTATAGAGATGTCCTGGATGATGCATACTTGTGTCGTCCTGACTGGCGAGATACACAACCACATGTAACCCTGCATGTTGACGTGCTTAATGCAAGTCAAAACCCATGACCTCGCACAGCTAGAACGAAGGAGAACAGCAACCAGGACCTAAGAACTATGACGCCGATGAAAAGAATTATGAGTACACCAAATGCCCGATCCCAAGTTCTTCCACCTGCTTACGCCCGCATACGAACTGCTTAGTTCATGCTGTGAGGAGTGCCCTCGGTACCGATGCTACCATACCGAGCCTTGGTCTCAGCCTCAGCCTGCTCCTTAGCCTGCACGTATGCAAACTTGACGCGAGCAGCCTTGAGCTCCGCCTCAGCAAGCTCCAGCTCAGCCGCCATCTTCTGCACGTGCAGTGGTTCACTGGACGCGTTGAAGGCTTCGACGATAGCAGAAGGAGCTCGGATTGGACCGGGAGACATCGAAAAAGACGGTGTCGGGTGAGGCATACATTTTCCACGAGAGTCGCTCGACTCTTCACCCTCAGACTCAACAGTGCGGCGAGGACGATGTATAGAGCGACGACTGCTGCTGGGGGTAGCGCGGTCGACAGAGTAGCGGTTCCTGCTATTGGAATTTTCTTTGCGGAGGAAACCACCCTCTTCAGAGCGGCGCAGACGGCCATCTGTCACGAGTTAGGTAAGAGCTTGAAGGAAGCGAGCGGTTGGGACTTACACTTGCGGCGCTTGTGCGACTCCTGGACACGGGCTTCATAGACTTCGTGATTGCGACGTCCACGCTTCATACCTTTGGGCAGGTCGGGCTCAACCAGCTCTTCTAGGTAGGAGTCGGTGGAGGAAGTGCCAGAGGACTCCTCAACAACCTCTTGCTTCCGATTAGGGTGCTCGTATTCGTCCTTGAGCTCCTTGATGTCGGCGAGACGGGCCCAGGGATGTTTCGGCTCGTGCTGGGCGACTTTCTCACGCAGATCGGCTTGGAAGAGAGCGAGATCGCCGCCCTTGATGCGCGCAATAGCCTTGAGGTCCTTGAGGAACTGCACCCCCCAGTTGCGCGGGTCGTTCTCAGTCTGGTCCTTGATGTGGTCGCGGCGCTCGCAGTCCCATGTGCGCATGCGGATATCCTCGGGAATGATGTCGGCACAGTTCGTGATCCCGAAGGAGGCTGCCAGATTCGGAAGAAGACATTCGACGAGATCCTTGGTCTCTGCGTTGAGAGTGTCGAAGCGGCCCATTCTGCTTGCTGTACACCAATGTCGGTTAGTCATATTCCATGCTTTTTCGATGCAGGATTCGCAGCGCAGGAGAAAGCGGAGCGGGCGGTTGAAGATTCAAAAGGCAGTCTCCGAATATGATGAGCAGTGCTGAATTTGCGCAAAATTATACCGCAGACTGCTCTGCGCTTGAGAAATCGCAGGAACATACCTTGCTTGAAGGAGTAAGAAGGTCCTTTTAGAGTGTGCGCGGTTGCTGAGTTGATGGCTGATGGGTGGTGTAAATGTGTGATGGAGATGGGTAGACAGTGTGGCTTGTAGAGCCCTTCGGCGTGCCAAGATCGAAGCCTATGACGCTGGGTATATTCTTTGGGTGAGTGAAAGTACCTCGAAGTTCGAGTGATTGATCCAGTACTTGACGACTTGTGCTCTGTGCCGCGTTTTGGCGCAGGCGAGCAGTGAGAATCTGAAGAGGAAGAGTTGCTAGTGCCGGCTAGTCGAATACGAAGTTGTGCGCTGAAAGCAAGAACAGTCCTTCAAACTAGTACCTGAGCATATCTGAAGGGTGAGGGAAGCAGAAGAGTGGGTATATGACAAGGAAAAGAGCAGCGATGTATGTCGTTATCCGTAGGGCGTTGTGTGCAAAGTGAGAGAGGACACAGCTGGTCTAGCTGCCCTTAGGCAACACATAATTGCATGTGTTTGAGCTCATTCATGAGAAACAGAACAACTCTTTGAGTTGATGAACAGAGTGTCTACCATGCTGTCGCAGTCTGGAGGCGGGCAAGGAAATGTCCTTCGTGAGGAAAAGTCTCCCTTGCCACACGAAGCAGGAGAGACGGGTTTCCTTGATTATGATGCGACATGCTTTTTTCTCCCGTGTAGCAAAAAATGCATTCAGGGATAGATGTGATGGTGGATGATGGAGAAGAGAAGACAACGAGGCTGCAGGGCGCTTTCGGGGCGACTTCCCCTCGGAAAGGGCAAGAGCGGGACATTTCGCTTCGACTTGCCCTCCCGCATCCTTCCTTCCCCAACCACCCTCTTGACCATTCTCCAAGATCGCTCGCACTCGGAACGTGATGGAAATATGGCACTGAAAAGGGAGCGCTCGGCATCGTCGACTTCCTTACCAGCTGTCTTCAAGTCTACACAAATAGACGAACAAACATCTTCGTTCATTGGCGCGTTCTCGCCCAGCCTCTCCGTCAAACAACTACAACAACTACCAGAGTTTAGACCTGCAACACATTGCATGGCAGCATGGCGAAAACGCTCACGGCAGAAATCTTTGATGCCAGATTCGAAGATTCTCTATGACTCTGGCCACGATGACGACGGCGAAAAGTGGGCTGGTGGCAGGCTCCAGAATGTACTGAATGACACACAAGCTGAAGGTGTAGTCGTCGTAGCACGTTGGTACGGCGGGCAGAACATCGGTCCCATTCGCTTTACGCATATCGAGAATTGCGCCAAAGAAGCCATCTGGAAATGGAAAGTTGCATCAACCCAGCTCCAGAACGAGGCGGCAACCAAGAAGCAAAGGTTGGACGAAGAAGCGCAACGACAAGAGCTAGTCAAGAATCTGCAAGAACGCGATTTGAACATCTTCACTTTGAGAAAGCTACTCGCGGAGAAGAAGGCAACATTGGA